ACATTTGTAAACAACCTTATCTTTTCTTTGGAAACAAAGTGAGATTTACATTAGTAAAAACAAATATTCCGAACTCATATTCAATAGGCCATTCTGCTACTTTCTAGCTGTTGGATTTGAAACAAATTCTCCAATCTTTCTGAGCCTTGTATCCTTATCGGCAAAGTGAGGATAATAATCTCTCAAAGAGTTAGTGTGAGGACTGAATGGATAAACAAATCTAAAGCATTTAGCACACAAGTGTTCAGTTAGTCTGAACTATTCGTTGTATGTGGAGAATAGAAGACTGCGAAAAAAAATATTGAAGATACCAAGGGGAAAATGATGGAGCCATAATTCAGTACAGGTCTGTTAGACTCTGAAGCTCTGCTCTCAATCATAATGTGGTTAATCTTTAGACTGGAAAAGGATCTTATTCTGAGTTTACGAAAGAATCACTCATGTAGCTTAATTAAGCCATCCCCTATGCCGATATAACAAGAATTTTTTGAGTGTGGAACCAGCACATGTGTTCTTCAGCACCCCCCGCCCCCTTGGCCGCCCCGCCCAGGCTAGAAACCATCACACTTCCTGCAGAAAAGAAATCTTGCTCTTCAACACTTCTATGAAGAGTCCCAGTACAATTTAGGCTTTCAGATCCCCAGATATAATTGTTTTTTAAACCATGTACATCATAAAGATGTTAAAAGTAAATAAAACTGTGAGCAGATATCCAGAATAGGTGCTTTTCTGGGAATAACATTGAGTACCTTGAGAGGCAACTAATTCAGGAGCAATAAGCAATGGATCCCTATGAACACAAGAAATAAGCTTGATCAATCTACCCCTATCTGTCAAAGTCTATTTTACCACAGAAAGTTGGGGGGAAACCCCAAAACTATGGGATATTGTGAAATAAAATTAATTTATCCATATCTTGGACACAGAATACTGAAATCTATTAAAAGGGTAAGCCAAAGAATTGGGATGATTACTTTTGGAGCCTAGTTTGCCATATTTCAAGAAAGAAATAATCATCAGCAGAAATGATAGAGAATTTATCTTTTCTGAAAGACTGTACCTATTGATTTTACCTAAGATCTTAGGATTTGTTAAATCCATAGCTTTGAGTATGGTGTATTGCAAATCTAACAGCAACTAATCAAAGGTCACATATCTGTTGCTTGGAAACAAGTTATTGTGCAGGCTTCCTGGATCTCCCTGACTACACTGGTACTAGTCTACCTAAAATTTAGCTGATTTACCCACGAGAAACTATTAGCCTATGAAAAGCTTCTGAAGTAAAATAAAAATTTTAGGAAAGGAGATAAGACCCTGAACAGATGAAGAGTAGCAACAGATTCAGTGGGAAAAATACATGATATAAAGGGAGAAGAGCTAAAGTCTGAAGCTTACGACCCTTCCTGTTCTGGAGATAAAGGACAAACAAACGAACAAACAAACACAGCCCAAGCTGCACTCGATTTCAAGAACTTTCTTCAGGCAAGGGGATGAGCAGAGTCAAAGGGTGAAATGAACTCCTGATCCTTCCTAGGTAATAACAATAGGTGCGGACCCAATTTGCTCCAAAAAGGACCATGGCAGATTAACAAAAATAACTATCAGAGATGTTTGGCCTACTTTGCTTCAAATGCCTATTTGACCAAAGCAATCTGAGTAAGTTTGCCTTATCAGCCTAAATGGTACAGTATGGGCACTAAAGGAACCTATATAATAAGAATAAAGACTGAACATAATAAAAATAAATAAATTTTTTAAAATGAAAAAAAAGGAATAAAGAGAAATCCAAATAAAAACACACAAATTTAGAGTCATATGTAAAAAACAAAAACAAAAACAAAAACAAATAGAGCCAGACACCTGCCTATACATCCTATACTGTGGCTCTATGATAGAATCTTTTAATGGAACACATAGCACTCAGGAGTTTTCAAACAGCTACTCATGAAAGGTTTTTTTTTTTTAAGATTTTATTTATTTATTTGAGAGAGCGAGAGAGGGAACACAAGTAGGGGGAGTGGGAGAGGGAGAAGCAGGCTTCCCACGGAGCAGGGTGCCCGATGTGGGGCTCGATCCCAGGACCCTGGGATCATGACCTGAGCAGAAGGCAGACACTTAACGACTGAGCCACCCAGGCACCCCAGTCATGAAAGTTTTGAGGCGGATTCCCCCCACCCCAATTTCTTCCCTTCTATCTTTACTTCTTGCTTTGTAACATGTTATTGCCATGGGTAGGTAAAAAACACTGGAGTCTGTGGATTTAAAATGCTCAATTTCTGTTATAGGGACTGATAGTGTAAAAGGAGAGAAAATATAAAACATCTATCTTACTAAATCAAGAATAGCATCTATAATAAGAATATTTCTTGTTTGATTCTTACAAGTCACTGAAAGTCATCTTTGACTCAGGTAGCCTTGGTGAGGTAGCCAAAGGAGTATTCTAAATGTTTATGGAATAGATTATTTTGCTATATTCATCCCTTCAATCCTCTTTTTTTAAAATATAAGTTCTTTTTACATCCCAAAATGAGAAAAACAAACCATCTTTCCTTTATTGTTTCACTTAGAGAGATAAATTATATAAAACTATACTACATAAGTATCTTTCCAGGGAGGGAAAACTGAATGAGAAGAAATCAAGAGAAGGAGACAAACCATGAGAGACGCTGGACTCCCAGGAAACAAACTGAGGGTTACAGAAGGGAGGGGGGTTGGGGGATGGGCTAACCAGGTGATGGGTATTAAGGAGGGGACCTGTTGTGATGAGCACTGAGTGTTATACGCAACTGATGAATCATTGAACACTACATCAAAAACTTATGATATACTATATGCTGGCTAACTGAACATAATAAAAAAAAACTATACTACATAAGTAAAAATGAATAAAATTAAAACTAAAGTAGCAAAAAAAGAAAGATAGGTGATACAAGGTAATAGATTATACCTTCAGTGAGGCAACTAAAGCCAGTAAACACCTAGATGCTGGCTGGGTGCAGTTTGAGTACCAAGCCCAAGGGCTCGTTTTCACTGGACTGTAGTGGTTATATACCTACTAATTACAAGAAATTAGGCAGAAAGAAGCTACTTAATCTTCTAGCCCCATGCAGTGGTTGGTCAGTTCAAGTGTACATGATCTATAAATTATTCCAAACCTATCCTTTCTCTAATATACTCTAATCCTAAACTATGAACACAATTATATTACTCTCTATTGATCTCTGATTCCTAGTTTAGGCTCTTAACAACAAAATAGCCACAAAGAAGTACAAAATGGGAAAGGAGAACAGTAACAGGTTTTCACAACAACTATGATCCCCAGCTATTTTATAATGTACATACGGTTTTGTAGATGAAAATTCTAACCATTTTATCAGCATGCTTGTTACATACTTAATGAAGCTAAAATCTGGCAAACTATCTGGCATTTTAATTAGAGTGTGGGTTATTATGATGATTATTTAACAGTAGATCTGCAGTTCAGGAATGACTATTGAATGTAATGAAATAAGAGCATTTTCAACAAACATGCCAGAATTTCCATATTCAGTTGAAAGATATTCTCTTTAAAGCAGGCAGTCACCTGGAGAAATTGTGTATTTCTAATAAAGCTGCTGCCGCTGCTTAAAACATTTCAGTAACATCTTTAAGCCTAACTTGGAGATCATTTATTAAAATTATCATTACTTTATCTTAAACAGAATTCTTATTCTAGAGTACATTTGATTCTTACCTCCATTAAGTTTTGATGCAAAAGTCAGTTCATAAATAACAGTGGTCAGTAAATTAATTACCACTATTTCTAAGATACTATTGTATGTGATTTTCAAATATCACAAAATGGTAGGTATAGAGCTAAACTTAAAATACAAAAATGTGTTCTGTTTTAGTAACATTTCAAAATGAGGAAACTTCATAAAAGAAACCTGGAGTCTTGCCTTCTCCTGGGATATAAAACTATGACTTAGTAGCACTAGGCAAGTGTTTCCTCATAGTAACTATTATGAAAACCAAGCAGAGGCTGATCCCTTTAGAAGAGGAAATGTATTTTCACTTTAAGTCCTTGCTTACACAACATATAAAAATACAGTGACATCAGGGGAACTTGACTCACTGTGTTGAAGCCAGTTAGCATACTTGGTAAAACTAAGTTGGCATTTTGGGTGGCCAAATACTTCAACTTACCTCATTGTTAGAAGATTACCTATCCTTGCCTTGTTGAACTCTGGAGTAGCCTTAGGGTTTGTTTGGACCAATAAAATGTAGATGGAAATGAAATATATCACTTTAGGGCAGAAGCTTATGAACTAGCATGCAGTTCACACAGCTGGACATTTAGCTACGAGGTAATATTCCAAGCAGAGGTTTCTCCATTAGCCTTGACCCTGAAGAAAAGATAATGAAGAGCAAAATCACAGTCCATAACAAATGGGCAGCATGAGTGAGAAATAAATCTTTGTTGTAACCCACTGTGATTTGGGGACCATCTGTTACTACTATAAAACTTAGCCTATCCTGACAGACACCACATATTTACATTACATCCTTGGCCTCTATAAGGAACTAAATTTGAGACCCATGCTTTTCCTATAAGTTGCCCTCTAATTTTGTAGAATGTGAAAAACTGAAGCTCAACAGGGTTAAATAATTTGTTCAGAGCTGTTAAGTCAATCTCTGTATCCAGGTCTGTCTGACTCCAAAGTCTACACACTTACTTTAATTTCTTACTCTCCTGCACTTTAATATATGATTGGAAGGCTATGCCATTACTTCTATCTTTCACAATACTGCAAATAAATAAAATGGCTTTGAAATTCACCATTTCCTAAAATATCTAATCAAAGTAGGTATCTTAACAAGTTGCTAAATACAATAACCTATTTTTGAAAAATTTTTCTAGAAACCATTAAAATACTTTTGTTAATATATAATTTTATACTCTTTGTATTTATTTTGTAAACATATTCTGTCTGTACCACTTTAAAAGTCATTTTTAAATCATATTTATTTTTTTGCACAGAACTCATTTATTAATATCTAAAAAAAACCAAATGCAAAGTAATAAAGTTGGCTTCTTTTTCCCACAAAAATGGGGAATACATCTCTGTAAAGAAATCTTAAATTATTTTTACACACCAGTTTGCTGCTGGGATTACAGTTTCAGCAAAAAACAATTAATGGAGAAAAAGAAAAACAACCAATGGGCAACCCTCCAAAAAAAAAAAAAAAAGAACCCAAACAAAACAACATTAACTGATTAATATATAAAATTGTTTACAATATGGTAAGCAAGAAACAGTAACTGATCAGAGAACACCCTGCTCTAAAGTAATTAGAGTAATTTTCACACAGATTTCTATTATAGTGCAGTTCACTCCCAACAACTCTGAGCCCATTAAGAGCACTTCTATACATACAAAGACATAACAAAATGACACAGTATTTACTGCAACAACAAATTAAAGTTTGTCATAATATATGTAACTTAAATACCCCCCCACCCCCAGTGATAAAGTGGCTTCTTATTCCTTAAACATAGAAATTCTGCTCTTCATTGTAGAAAGATGAAGTCCTCTCATCAAAAGGCACATTCTTATCTGCAAGAAAAAAAAATAAAACAAAACTTGAAATAGTCATCCTGGAACAAATTTAAACGTTTTAAAATATTCCTGAAGGTTTGGAGTGGCAGGAAGGTAATGACAGTGTTTGAGGGAATTATAATGAATGGCACTGATAAAACACATGATTATTTTGCCTATATTAATTATATCAGATTCTATCTTTCGAAATATGATTCTAACATTTTCAAAGAGATTTGTGTGGGTAATTAAAAATTATTTCAGTCATACTAAAGTGATACCCTCATATAATATTCTTAACTGACTTAAGTAAACAATATAGTTATTTGTTTCTATAGTTTCTGTAAATACAATTCTTAACTGATTCTATTTCTAAACCCTCAGAAATGAGGATTTAATGAAAGCTGTGGGCCTAAAGTATACTCTGAAACAAACAAAAAAAAATGTGTTTTTTTTTAATTTATTTATTTGAGAGAGAGAGCAAGCACACGTGCACCTGCACACACACCAGTGGGAGGGGCAGAGGGAAAGGGAGAAAGAATCCCAAGAAGACTCTGGACTGAGAGCAGGGGCTCCATCTCACAACCAGGAGATCACAACTTCAGCCAAAACCAAGAGTCCAACGCTTAACTGACTAAGCCATCCTGGTGCCCCCCACAAAAATATTTTTAATATTTATCATACAGTTTCAAAATGTATCCATAAAGAGGTTTTCCATAGGTTTGCCTATTTTCTTACTTTACTTACGAGTTTATGGTAATATGAGGTTATATTTTTATCACATACATCTTTATTGACCTTAATTCTAATTATACATCAGGCTGTACTGTTAATCTAAACCATAGGTCCCAAGAAACTTCTGCTAGTAAGAACCATTACAACAAAAAGTATTTGGAGTAAAAGAACAGCCAAAGTTGTGCAAATCTTACTAACTAAATAAATCTTTCTTTATAATCACCATTAACATTTAGAACTTCATTGGAGATATGAATAATACTCTCTTCTAATTTATTGTTTTATCTGAATCTTTAGTAAACAACCTAAAGCTAATGAAAGTCTAATATATTTTAATTTGAGGATAAATTTAAGTTTTTTAACAAAAATATTGAAGGTTATTAAAAAACAATGTAACCTAGTCCTCATTTTACACAACTCTTGTCCTTTGCATGACTGAAACTCTTGATCGTTTCGATAATGAATTTGTGGACTATGAAAAAAATTAGATTAATAAAACTTGCAGTTCCATTTAGCAGAGTAAGAACATAAAATGATAGGTACCTAATTCCCAACTGTAGCATTAAATAGACTTTTGAACTCAGACCACTTTTGAGAACCTAGGCAACATTTAACAATGTTTATAAGATGTTTTGGAATCAAGAAGTACCTAGTACATGAACAATCTCTTAATGTACAGTTTCAGGAATGCATTTTAAGATTCATAATCAACCCCAAAACAGGTGAACATGTATACCTGTCTATTATTTTTCATATACCAAACATTTTATTGAACCTCTTTTTATTTTCCAGACCGTACAACCTGCTTTCCTACTTAGAATACTGCATTCCTTGAGTTGGGATTTCCTCAGAATTCCATTCCAGATGTTTCATCCTGCCTAACACTTATAATGTGCTATGCAGAACCACCATTCCCTAATTTCTTTGGCATGACTAAAGTACAGATCACCAACACTGAAGATGTTCTTTCTCTACATGCCCCATACGAAACAATTTTAACCTATCAAGAATCAAACCCATCATCTTCTAGCCTTAAACCTGGTCTTCCTCTGAACCCTCTTAACTCACAGTGGTAATGCAACCTACCTAGTCACCATTCCACTGGGGGAGGGGTGGATACCGAGGTCCTCTCTGCATTCTATTGAGTATTACTGTCTTGTCAGAGTTTTTCATTTTCTTCCCCTCCTAAACTAGCTTTTTCTTCTGTTTTGATGCCTCTCAAGTGAACAACTGAAACAACTTCAAAATATTAGACCTTAGTTTCTTCCCAACTCTAATTTTTTCATAGGCTCACTGGTTCCTTTTACTAGAACATATATCTCATGGAATCACTCCACTCCAAAGCAGTTGATGTTTATGACCATTTTCACAAATGGTAAAATTTGTATCTTTAATATATATATTTTTAACATGGCCTTCTAGATCTGGCCCCAAATCTGACTGATTTTCCATGACCCTAGGACATAGCCTGTGTTCTAAAGAGGCTCACAACATACCACATGCACACACTCTCATACGGGGCATCCCTTGATGCATGCTTTAACTTCACATACAACTTTCCTTTATCATAAGGCTCTTATTTGAATAACTTACTAGTTTTAAAAGTAACTACAACTCAAATATCACCTCTTCAGTGAACTCTCCTATTTTCTACCCCAAACTCAGTTTCTCAGAGTTCTCACAGCAATTTGAAAAATGTGGAGCCTTAGCATAGTATGAGGAAAATAACCAAGGGTTACCAGTACTAGGAGAGGCAAAATTGTATAAGGCAGACTGGAGACTCAAAGAAGCTGGGAGACAGAGCCAGGAGTACATAGCATAATCCATGTGGACTCGTTAACAAGAGCCTCTTTTGGCAGAAGTGGCAGGACCAGAGGCTCAAGCCCCAAAACCAAGCAATAGAGTAAGGCTACCTTCTCGTATGGATAGACTATATTTCATAGTTTCTAAAATATATTTTCATATATTAACATCACTGACCTTGAGATGCACCTTCCAATTGATGGCAGGCATCTTAGAATTGCCATCAGACAGGTGGTAGTTACTACATAGTTGTCACTGCCTATATGTGCACAAAGTTGATCAAGCTCTTGGTACTGTTATCACTTCAACAGAATTATATGTGTTGTTGGTATTACAAGGAATGAGTTTAATGTTTGGAATGCCTTTAAAAAGATAATATCATGGTGCTCACTTCGGCAGCACATATACTAAAAAAAAGATAATATCATGAATCATCACTGAAGCAAAAGTTACTGTATATGTACAAAGAAAAGAAAGTAGCAGGGTATAGTTTATTACTGGAACAATGGTGTGAATTCCATATTTTTCCAAGAAACAACCATGTCTTTAAAAATGAGAAGAGGTCCCAATGTCCCAGGTAGACAAAACTCTGCTAATTTCCGTTCTGAGAAACTATTACAAACCAAGAAATGCAGTGAAGGCAGAAGCAACTGCCAAATTCTTTAGAAGCAATGAAGAATGTAAAGGTATTGAGAAGCTGATATGTACAGTTCCTGCATTACATGAAATATCATATTATTTCATAATTGACTATTTTTTCTTTCTTAGTGTAACAGCTTAAAATTAATAATGTCTTAGATTAAATGGTACAAATCTCCACAGAACTTATATCACCTTAGAGTGAAGGGAGTAAGGGAAAGATGTATTATGTTTAAATTTTGAATTGACAATTTTTAAGCTGTAAATATCTACTGAAATTAAGAAGTTCAAGTTTTTCACCATTTAGAATTTAAGATCTAAAAAACTCTAAGAACATCATACCCTTGCTCAACCACATTCTATGGTATTGACATGGAGAACAAGTACAGACAAATCTATTTCAAATACAGTCTCATGTGAAGACAGGCATAGGTAACCACAATACTTAACGTCTTGATTTATTTAAAATAGGGTATGCAACATATTGGGCTGTGTGTGCTACTAAGTTTAACATTTAAGTACATTTTTTTAAAAAAATGACATTCATTCAATCACCAAACATATACTGAGCTATGATTTGCCAGGAAAACTGCTTGATACTGGGGAAGATGGTTATGACAAAAAAAGAAAAAAGAAGAAAAACAATAAACATAATTCCCTGCTCTTATTATAGAGCCACAAATACAGCATGGAAATCACTTAGAGGACAAAAAACCTTGGCCTAGAAAGGAAGTCTGAATTCTAGTACCATCCTGATCAATTATTTACTGGATAAGTCCTTCTTCTTCATAAGAATGGGATAAAACAGTTTCTAAGAGATTAAGCATGTCTTTTTATGGAAGTCTTCAGGATGAAAACAGAAATCATTAGAGCCCAAGCTGAAAAAGCATTTAGAGATGCAGTCCAGTCACACAATTTGTCAGGTGACTTGGTAAGGAAGAAGAGCCAAGATTTGGGAGACTGAAGTAAGGAGATTGTTATCAATGCCAGAAGCTCAAGAAGTGCTTGAGTCTACATAATCATATTCTGCTGCTCCTTATTTTACCACAATACTTCTCAGTCATGACGATTTCGTCGCTGAAGTCTAAAGATTAGACCAGATGTCAAATGCTCTATTGTTCCACCATTTACAGAATTCCCACCGTGCTAAAAAAAAATAAAAGCTAATCTGTTTATGTTAAATGCCTATCTTACTGCTCTGTAAAACTGCTACTCGTGAACAGTAATTCCTTAGAACTCATACCTTTATTCAGTGACCTCCAAACCCAAATATTTCTCTCTTACCAGCTGCCAAATTTAACCTTCAGAAAACATTCTGAATAGTCAGGGTGACATATTATAAACTGTCTATTCAACACTTATTATCTCCTTTTTGTTTGCTAATAAAATATTGACTTTTTGTTTGTTTGTTTGTGTTTCTGCTAGCGAGGTGGGCAAAAGACTGTTGGGAAGAAGAGGGTAGTTCTGAGAAATTTTGATGTCCTGATAGAGAGTGATGTGAGGTGAGTTCTTGCCTTCCAGGCTCTTGTTGCCTGAAACACAGATGCAATGGCTGAAATTACAGCAGCCATATAAGCAAGACAAGACAAGCATGAGGGAAGGTTGGAGAAAACTGCATAAACGTAGACCCTATGATCAAATAGCCATTGAATCAATACCAGGAGCCAATTACTACAGACTTCTTATGACATGAGAAAAACTCCTAAATTCAGAAAAAAACTTCTGTAAGTCTATGTTCTTCATTAAAATAGACAAAAGTAAAAAAGTAGTAAAAAATAGTCAATCTTAGAGAAGCAGAGAGTAAACTGGTGGTTGCTGAGGTTTGAGAGGAGAGTGAAATG